ATCCAGAGCTAAATCGATGAGATGGATATATTGAGGAACCCAAGCCTGACAACAGTCTGAAGTGGTTCAACCAAAAAATGCACATTCTAAGGACGACCAGCTGCTATGGTCATTTCTTGTTATATTCTGGTGCACACCAATCCTTCTGAGATGTACTTAAGCATCTCTAGTGCGTGTTCTTCATAAATTTAAGAAAGTATTATGTTTTAACACTGTGAAGACGATGTGCTTTGCTCCACAGCTGCTCCGGTGATAATCCTAGTACCCGCCATGTTGAAAATAGGTCACAGAGTTAGCATCGTTATTTTACATTTAGTTTCTACAACATAAACAAATTTAAAAAATGCATTTTCGCTTCATAAGTTCGTCTGCAGGGCAAACATAATTATTTTAAGGGCTTTTCACAAACCTATACATGGTTTTGACTTATTTATTTAGTTGAAGAAACAGTTTAGCATTTAAGTAGTATAAAAATATTCGTTTTTAGGCCCTTTTTAAAATTGTTGTAGTTCTTATTTTACAAGGTTTAACACAGATTTTATTTTACAAAATTTATTTTTCAACCCTTTTCTATCAGCACATACCAAAATTATATGGATAAAACCTGCAAAAAAGAAGTTGTGTGCATTTAAAGAAGGGGAGGGGGTCAAGCATACGGAAAACATGCCTTATTAGAATCAACCTTGTGTGGTCATGACAGTGCCTTTTCAAAAAATCTGTACTGGGTATTAAAGGTCTTTCCTTAACCTATCATGTGGCTTACCTTAATAATTCCTTATGCTGTACATGATTTTTTAAAAGAATATTTAAAATTATAACTTTTCAAGAGCTAAAAAGTGCTATATTTTGGCAAAATTGCCAATAAAAGATCTGCCCCCATATCTCTAAAACTAATGATCCAAAATAAGAAAGCCAGTGGCTCACAATATCTTTTATGTTGATGGTTTACCACACCAAAAATTATTAAAATCTGCTGACCCCCACCTTGCCACCTTCTGACTGATCTGTCTGGCTTTCTCATGGACGCGCTCTTAATACTGTTTTTAAAGTGGAAGTGCTGTTCTATTTTTCTTAAACTTATGGCACTTGTATTGGGCACAACGTGCCACACAAGTAAACTTTGATACAAACCTCATGTTGGTTACAGTGTTTTTTTTTTTAATTTTATGTAAATACCTTTAACTTTTTTTACTTTTTAAAACTTTTTTTTTTCATTGTATTTTGTTATTTTCTGGTTAAAATTTTTAAATACAATTAATAAATGTTTCAGATTTTGAAAAGAGAGCACTTACGCTGCCAGCAAATCCACGAGGGTCTACGCAGTAGACAGATCGCCATTCCTGGAGGGTCTGCCATTGCCTCCGCCTTCACGACCTACCTGGGCCCATACCACTACAACTTCCGCAGACTCATGTTGACTGTCCACTGGCCTAACTGCCTGAGAGAGAGGGGGATACCACTGGTCATTGACTCCATTGACCATCTCAGAGGTAGGGGCAGGCATAAGGCTATCTGTATTAATTTGTGAATGCACAGGCAACATGTTCAGATGTATTACTGTATGCTTGCATGCATTTGCACACACACACACACACACACACACACACACACACACACACACACACACACACACACACACACACACACACACACAC